CCTCTCCAAATCTTTCTGCGACTCCTGGCTGATTTTTGCCTGACTTACATGTTTTCCGAGTCACAGGTGTTGCCGCAAATTTTCTGCCTCGCCATCGACCCGCTTGCATATCAAATGAATCTCACGGTCGGATCTCATAATCAGTCATGTGTCTATCTCCTCGGCTTGCTACATCAAGCTAACCTCTTCATTTCGGTCCTCCGACCTTCAAAACAGTCCACCCTATCCCTCTGCGCTCCAGGGTTCCTCAAGACCATCAGTTATTTCTAAAAGTGTGATCAGGTTCCTCACCAGTGCTTCATCCTCTGCCTCGTCCTCGTTGCACACTGTCGACACTATTCTGCTCTCTTACCGCCTCCCCACTTCGACGTCTTGACTTCTGGTTTTATCTCCCATTGTGAACTTAGTACTCCCTGACTACTTCCTGGCAATCCCCACTTCGCAGGCGGTCAACATCTATCAACAGTGTCGATTTTCTTTCTCTCTCTCGGACCCGTCTTCCGTGCCTCAAGTTCTAGTTGAACGTGGTCCTTCTCCATTAGCTCTGCGGAATGTGTTCAATCAACATTTAAACCATGCAAACTGGGTCCCAGCTCACCGCGGCGAATCACGATCCCTCACTGCTGGGCAACGGTTCTGGTTTTCTAATTTTCGGAGCGAAGCGGGAGCAAATCTCTCAGCTCAGTAACTACAATAATTGAAATCTGCACGCTATCATTCATCACCTGCATTTCGTCATTTCCCACTGCACGTTCCTGCACTCTCGACAAGTTGGCTGTTACTCGTTCTCCTTGACTGTCAGCTTTACCTCTAGGCTTCCTATGTGGTGCTTCGGCCCGTGCATATTTTTGTACTCCTTGCCTGGATGGTAGATCCTTCTAGATCTTGTGTCTGAATCATCTGCCTCCCTCTGCGATCTGTCTGCACGCGAATATCTGTTCCGTCTGGATTTTTTCTGTCATTCAAATATCTTCCCTCCCGATCGTGTTTTCCTGTAGCTGAGCTCCACTGTCTCCGCTCCTTTGATCCTTTTCGCTTATCGTGCTTCTATCTTTTCCGTGTAATATTCTGTCACCGGCTTCGGTTGGGTCCCACAAGAGGATGGTTCTTTCTTCCTCACCGTCACCGCTTCAATCTGTAATCTCGTTCGTCCATATTAACAGCTGTCCAGCTCGTACACCATGTGGTTCATCCCATCTCTGTCGCGCAATCCGTCAACGGCGTCGCGTTATTTCACTGTTTGTATTATCCCTCCTCCAACTCGCTGGTTTTGGCGGCCCCCATGCATGGGACACTAGGCTAACATTTCCATCTTCTCTGCCGATCCTCATAGCATTGGTCTTCAACCGTGTAACAGACTCTTCTGTCTGATTTTTGGTTCATCTCCGCATCTCATAACTGCTTGCCCACCAGATTGGAATTTCTCCAGAGGAATTCTCCAGTCATACCTCAGTCCCTGCTACCTGGACTCGCTGGAAATTTAGACGACTAAATTCTACACTTGCGATGCTCAACTAACCCACTAACGTACTAACCTTTACCATTCTGAACATCTCGGGAAAACCCAACCACCCAATACATCGAGCACTCCTAGTATTTTCGGGGGGATCCGCATTCGCCTCCGCGTCGTTGCTCTCCTATTCCTAATTGGGTCTCGCACTCATCCGGATCCCCCCGCTTTTTCAGATTCCGGCCTTCGCCGGAGGGCCCCACGTGGCTTTCGCCCAAACCTTTTATCTTCAACATGCCATCATTCAGTGAACCGCGATTGCGGGCATAAATTGAGATTCGCTAGGCGCAACGAGGCACGAGTGAAACCTTAGAATAGGGTTTATGACCAATCGGAGCGGTCGCTAAGGAATCTTTTCCTTTGCGGACGCGCTCACCATCCAGCCCGGCATCGCATCCCCTCGTCCATGGACGACATTGTTTTTTGCCCGCCCACCCACATCCTACTGACTTCATTTCTCCTGTTGGTTCCTTGCTAGTTTTCTCTTCTTTAGTTCTTTGCAAGGCTGGAGCCTGGAAAGCGTAGTAGATCTGGGTCTCGCACTCATCCGGATCCCCCCGCTTTTTCAGATTCCGGCCTTCGCCGGAGGGCCCCACGTGGCTTTCGCCCAAACCTTTTATCTTCAACATGCCATCATTCAGTGAACCGCGATTGCGGGCATAAAAGGTGGACTAGCGCGAACAGCTGCGAGCAGATAGGAACAGATGAGCTAACGCAGATGGAACACTCCGTATGAGAGTCCACGGGGCTAAATGAAAGACGAAATTAAAGTCGGGGAAGTGATCGCGGTTACTGTAGCTATAAATACAGATGATTAGATGGTCCCTGGAGATAAATGAGCTGCAACCTCCGCGTCCCTGAGAACTGCGTCCTCCGCATCTCCGAGAATTGCCCCTCCGCGGCTCGGAGAACTACAACATGAAAACAATAAACTCGTCTCAGCACATTTTAAACTATCTCAGCCAAGCCGTGAATTGAAGGAACCCCGCGGGAAGTCGTGAACAGACATAACAGTAAAACCCCCAAGTTAAGATAAAAGTATACATACATACATGCGTGTTGCGTAAACTGGTACACTGGTAGACAGAATTACAAATCTAAGCGGAGTGAGGATATTGGATGCAAAAGGACCCAGGATGGGATAAGATTTTGATGCGGACGGCCGATGATGCGATGATGCGATGAGAGCTGAGGAATCTAAGGATGGATGTGGGGATGAAGGAACCGAGTGAGGTATGGAGCGGAAATGAAGGAGCCGTGGACGGTGGAAATGAAGTAGCCGAGGATGCCGCTACCGCAGATACGCGCCAACTCCCATGCAGTGCACTACGGCACCCAACTGCCGCCGCCCCACCGCCCACGCCCCGCGAGGACGCCAATAACGAGAACGCACCCCACGACTCGGGCGATCGCAAGGAGCACGGAGCGCGTGCCGAGGAAGCTGCTCAGCGGCTCCTTGATTTTTGTATGCGTGTCGAGATCGATATCTTGCCAGCGCGATTGTAACGCTGCCTCTGGATTGAGAGAATGGAGGTCGAGCACGCTCCGAAGGGACTGCAGCGCGGCTGCAGGGAATGCGTGGTCGGCTTCTTTTGAAAGGGGGGACGCTGACGCGGACCAGGATGATGCGTCGGCCGAGGAGGAGGCATAGGAGGAAAGCGAGGAGGATGTGGAGGAAGAAAGCGAGTCGAAGCGGCAGGCGGGGCAGTGCCCATCTGCGGCTGGGCCGTGCAACCAGGAATTTATGTGCTCGGCACAAAACACAGCTCCGCAGCATCGCGTGCGGATGGGGGTCACGACGTGCTCGAAGCTGCACCGATAGGATTTGAATAAATTCATCAGGTCAAAAACACACTCATAAAAAGCAGAGAAACGCACCAAATTCCACAATCTCCCTCTTCTCGCCGTCCCTGTATACTCACACGCTTCACAGGGTCAATACGCAGTCGAAGCTGTGAAGACTTTCTCGATAGCGCGGGCGTGAGACACGTCGACCCGGTTTCGGCGCCGAGGTTGAGGGAGTACGACATATACTCGCTCTCGTCGATGTACGCGGTGTCGTCGGGGAACCGCCCATCCTCGCCAACGCAATACTCAGAGAAGTCCATTGCCACGTTGAAGCCTAGGAGGGATTAGCGCGGCTTGCCAGCGAGGTAGGGGCCGCACCTTTTGTGTTTTGCAAGGAAGTAGGAGGAGGCGGTGTGATGGTAGTGGTAGGAGAAAGAAAACAGGGACGGTGGCGTCGAATAGAAGTTCGCCAATATGTACAAAGCGACGAAATCGTGGGATTCGAAATTCAGGGGCGCGGGGTATGCACGTGTTTGTCACGGGTCCAAATGGAGAGTGGATCTTTGATCGGCGTGCTTGGTTGTCGTAAAAATTAAAGGTTGTGGGGCAGGAAGTTCTCCGGCTATCCTCGCCATGCCAAGAACTGTAAAGAAGTCACTGCACCACCCTGCACAACCCTGCACCACCTACAAAGAAGTCCTCAACTTCCACATCGTTTGGCAATTTACTCAATTCATATGCCATTCGGCAACCGATTAGTATAAACAGACGCTACAAACTTGATGCTCGTACACGGTACCTTCGCACCTGCGTCCCATGTTTGTAGTCTGTCGATTACCCGAGACGTGTGATCTGAGGTGAACATTATTATGTAATCTTAAATACCGCGGACGACGTTAGGGGACTTGGAACGCGTCTTTCCTTAAATTTGTTTCGGATTGTCGTGTAGATCACCAAAATAAAGTACTTTCCCAGCCAGTTCTCCCGCACAGCGCTCAAATTCAAAAATTCGAATTTCGATAGGCTTACCACGTGAGCCACCTGCAAGTTCTTTCCACTCGCAAAAATCAGCTAGAAAGCCAAAATCTGAAGTGATAGTTGTCTTTAGAACCCAATTAAAATTCATCTACCTTATTAATTTTGCCAATTGAAGCCCCCGGATGTGGGGAGCGCTCTGGGGCGGAATTCAAACTCCGCACTTTACGTAATAAGGTCCATTCCCCACGCGGTAAACGACAGACTAGCAACTGATTAAATTTAGTTTGCTGCGCAGGCAAATTGCATCGCACTAATTAAAGCGACCCAAAGGACAATCAAATGGGGAAGTTGCCGAGGAATATACTGGTGCGGGCAAGTCATGGAATTCGGAAGAAGATTATTAGGATCTCGGATGAAGAGGGAGAGAGTGATCAATCCGAATCGGAAGAAGCATGGAAATTCCGACGGAGCATCTTGAGAAACAGAGGCCTCGCTGCATGTGATGCACACGCCAGAGTTAGTTGTCACGGGTCCAGCTGTCCAAGCGAGGAATACCTTCGGAGTCTTCTTCCGCGTGCTCGGTTGTGGTGTAAATCTGCGATTATCACCATGCTGAGAAGTCCTGCAAAGAATTCCTCACCCGGTGCTCCATGGGTCTCAGCTTCCTAGAGACCATTTGGCAATTTGGGATAGCATGAAATAAAAATTGCTCACCCAAAGAGAAGTCGGACGCGGGGAGTCGAACCCCGGACTGCGGGTGACAAGTTAAATCGTGCCATCACAAATGACCCCGCTGTATTCCATACACTACGTCCGATGGTATGCCGTATTTCGTGAGGCATGAACGACAGGCCAACGCGCTCGCCTATATATGAATCACTCAGAATGAGAAGAGATACGTGTCAATTTACGGAATCTTACTACCTGCAGGGACATCGAGTGACTAGGACAGGACAGAATTTTTGCGCTGGCACGCGTGCCTTGGGGAATAACATCACCCAAGACGAACATATTTGCAAAGAAGAGGAAGGGTCGCCGCCCCCGGAACTCGGCCCGGTGGCAGTGGCAGTGGCAGTGCTCAGCTCTCTTTTCCCTTTCCGCATCCCCCACGCGCCTTAGACGCGTTTGGAGCCACAACTAAATCAACTTTCAGAAAAATCCTGTCTTCCTCTTTAAGCTCGGGGCACAGAGAGTGGCCCCTGAGCTTTGAGCGTTGCAAGGGTCGTGTATGTCGAGTGTTCGTGCGCTTCGGGTGGACGTGTGGGGTAAGATGCCGCGGATGGCGCAGAACCCCTCGCATTCCGCGTGTCGGTCGGAAATCCACGAAGAAGGTGACATCGCGAAGGAGGTGTCTGCCGCGGCAAGCCGAGGTCAGGTGATCTAATATTGGCCGATTCATGAACAACATCGAGCGTGTTCGGTGCGAAATGGACGCGTCGAACGCGTCGAGAAGTGCGTATTTGGTGCAGATAGACCAGCTCACGGAGAGAGCAAACTGCGAGGGATCTCACATGCGCTACAAATCGACATTTAGGCTGTAAATAGTTCCACATTCAAGCGTAAACTCGAACGGAGTGGATCCACGTGAAAGCTGAGAAGGATGAAAAATCGTCGGGAGGGTGGTGAAACATTCCAAATGAACTTCAATCTGAAATGTAGGATCAAAGCTGCAACCACGACTTCATCTTCAAGTAGCATCCGGTACGTCATGGCTCCAATATTGGCAGGAATTCCTAACTTGTATCACTTCCCGAAATGCCGTCTAGAGCCCGTGGCGAAGACGCAGTTAGAAAGAGATCGCGGTGAGACAGTCAAACAGTGCATCAGATTCAGAATGGTAACCTGTTGAAACTAGAATTCATGATCATAATAACTACTCATATATAATTTCTTTTCATGATATAACTTCTAGTACCTTGTCCAAATTGTTATCTTTTGTGTTCATAGTGGCACCCCGCTCGAGCAGGAGGCCTGCAATCACTGTGTGGCCTTTGGAAGTTGCAGCTTTCATTGCATTGCCATACTCTCCACCTTGCACATGCACATTGGCACCGTGCTCAAGTAACAAATGCACACTCTCAATGTGCCCTCCATGTGATGCTGCCTGCAGTGCGGTGCTGTAGTACCCGCCTTGCGTGTTTACATCAGCACCCTGCCCTATCAGCAGGTGCATAATTTCAGTGTGCCCTCTGAGGGATGCCAGCTGCAGTGCACTGCCATTGACTGCATCCTGCACTTTGACATTGGCACCTCGATTGAGTAGCAGTTGCACAATATTGGTTTTCCCTTTGTGGGAGGCTGCTAGCAGTGCATTGCCATAGACTCCACCTTGAATATTCACATCGGCACCCTCCTCCAGTAATAGGTTCACAATCTCTACACAGGACTGTGCAAGCCCTGCAGATGCCCCCTGAAGTGCATTGCCATATTGGCCCCCATGCTCATTTATGTTGGCACCCTCCTTCAGCAGTAGTCGGGTGATATTGGTATGCCCATGATGGCATGCTGCCTGCAGTGCATTACCGTAATATCCACCCTGGGAATTCACCTCGGCACCTTTCTTGAGCAGCAGGTGCACTATCTCGGTATCCCCTTTCAAGGATGCCGCCTGCAGTGCATTGCCAAATCTTCCACCTTGTGCATTCACATCAGCACCCTGTTCAAGCAGCAGGGACACAATCTTGATGTAGCCTCCATTAGATGCTGCCTGCAGTGGGTTGCCGTAGGTTCCACACAGTGTGTTCACCTTGGCACCCTTCTCGAGCAGCAGACATACAATCTCAGTGTGCCCTCTGAGGGCTGCCACCTGCAATGCCTCACTATTTCCTCCCTGTGCAGCCACATCGGCACCATGCTCCAACAACAAATTCACAATCCCTATATGGCCCTCAAAACAAGTTTGTTCCAAGGCAGAGTTGAGTTCCAACTCCTCCAAATCAACCTGCTCGAGCAGCAACTGCACAATCTCTATCTGTCCATCATAACATGCCTTGTATATCTCAAGGTTCCAGACATCAGCACCATGCTCAAGCAGCAAATGCACAATCTTGGTATGTCCCTGGCTAGCTGCTGCTTCCAATGCATTATGATAGTATCCTCCCTCTGCCTTCACATCTGCACCCCACCTGATCAGCAAGTGCACAATTTCAGTGTGTCCTCCGACACATGCTGCTTTCAGTGCATTACCAAACCGTCTACCCTCTGAATTCACATCAACTCCCTGCTTGAGCAACTGCCAGACTACCTCGCCAAGTCCGACCCGGGCAGCAAGGTATAAGGGAGGAAGAATAGGTATTGATGTCCATTGCCAAGATTGTCTCCGTACAGAGTCTTCATTGTCATACAGGCAGCATAAGGTCTTGTATTGTGTACTGTCCAGCTGGAGGAGTTCCATGACTTCCTCAATAAGCTGCGGAGGATTGCTGCTGTGGGAAACATTTAAATTATGTGATGATCTTGACTTCGAGGGTACCGTGGGGTCCTGTTCGGTCTATAAATGTATCAGAGCAAGCTCAAAGCAAAATAATAGTATGAAATTTACCTTGATAAATAAACCAAGCAAATAGGCAAGAGGCCACAGAAGCACCAAATTTAACCAATAGGACACAAAGAACCCAAGGAGGACATGAGGTTGGTAGCGTTGAATTTCGCTCCTCCACTGGCCTAGATGAATTTCATCACAGTGTGTGACGTGGAATGCCCAGCTTTCCACAGCATATAGGGTGAGAGGATATCTCTGGAGATCGGCATCATTGTCAATGACATGGTCCAAGCTGCAGAGATATGCAATACATGTTCGGGCAATCAAATGATGTGCTGTGTGCTCGGAGACAACACAATCACCATTGAGTCCTGTTGGCCCCTCCTTGGAGAGGAAGTATTCCTTGACTGAGGCGTGTGCAAGCTTTACTGTTGTATCCTCTGACACTGTGACGAAACCCGCACATGCAGCCAGTAGAGCTTGAGGGCGCATCCGCTCTGCTGTATTGAAGCGGAGTGGCTGGCTCTCAAAATCGAATGCCAGGGCATCAATGATTTCGGATAGTCGGACAGGTCGCTTTGAGAATATCAGCCAATTAATCGCACGGCAAACACTTGAAACCATGTCGGGATTCTTGATGTTCTGCAGAATGCGGTCATAGATGGTGTCCAGTGAAGTCGGCATGTCTGCCAGTGCCTTGGTCACCTGTGATAGCCTTCCATCACAGTTGCGCAATTCATCCAGCTGTAAAGCGACCAGGCGAAACCTTCACAAATTTATGAGCCAAGTGCTAAATGCTTCTATGTAACTCACATTCCACTGCCACGTTCAAGGAGCCTCCTCTTAATTTCGTCTTTCCGGTCTTGAATCCAGGCAACCTCTGTTGCCAATATTTCGGTGGTATACGACTCAATGTCCGGATCGACACACCCCTCGAGAGACAATGAAACCGCACGTTGAACAAAGTCAGAGTTACGAGGAACCTCTGGTCGGCTAGTCAGGAGAACATGAACATGGGCTAGCTTGGCATCCGCGATCTCTGTTAGTGTGCGGATCAGTTTATCTCGTTCTGCGCACTCATCGAGGGCATCCAAGACAATGTATACTGGCTCTGTGAACTCCCTTAGAATGGGGAGCAACGCCTCCGAAATTAATGTTGAATCTCTGGGGAGGTTTTGACCACGAGTATGGGAGCTCCAAAGCGCATCAAGTGTCTTGTCTGGGGCAGGTGCTTGAACCGACAGCTGTGTGACCAGGGAGTAGAGGAGTTGTGTGACAGTCTGTTGTCCCGCATTGTTTGTATCGAAGTAGAAGAATGCAAGTGGCTCTGCTCTGCTGCGAAGTGAGGCAATAATGGTTGAACTATATAACAGTAAGCCCTCTGAAACGAACAATACCCGCGGTGAACGTACCTTAGAACCGTCTTCCCGGACCCCGCTGAAAGGCATAGATGAGTAAAGGTTGGTGGTACCGATAAATAAGCTGACATATTCCGTGTAGCCAGAGCAACGAGCTCGGGGCATAAATCCACTCTCTGAATTCCGCACGATCGAGCAGCCACAGCCCAGTTTTGGGATGATACTTGTTCTCGGCGTCTCGTTGGCTGACAGCCACATTCGGAGGTTGAAGCCACTGTTCTAGCTTTGTCCGCGTAGCTTGATCGACCACCGTTTGTCTAAAATCCGTTGAGACAAAAACTCCAAGAAGTGTAGACTGAATGGCCGTACATCTTCCGATCGAGAGCATCCTGTCCACTCGAAAGAGAAATAAGACGCGCAACCTTCACGTCATTAACATCAGTGCTGAACGGGAATTCACACAAGCGTGCATACACTGAACGCGTCACGGAACGCGTTGATTCTTCGATCTATGCCATCCGCGATCCCCGGAAAGTCGCCATGTGCCAAGACGCGCTTGACAAAGCCTTTAGACATCCAATCCTTCAGGATGACATGCGTTTCGTCCAATACACTGCCGCGAATTAGTAGGTGCCCGTGCCAAAAACCGAAGGCTCACGTTTGATATCTCTGGAAATCCTTTTCCAAGCCCTTCACAGCAGTACTGCGTTTCTGCGCAGGAAGATCATTCAATCCTTGAGCAATAATGCGGGAAACCTCCCAGATGTTGTTTAGCAGATCATTTGCGCGCGTGTTGTTGTCGCTGATCCCCTGGGGACACGCTAATGCATGAGACCGCGCACATCGGTGGACCAACGCGCTAACGAACCTTTTGTATGTCTATGAGTTTCTGGATGCAGCCCGTTATGGCGTTGAGGTATGGGACGTTCTCCGTCACGCCATTCAGGAGCGCGAGGATCCCGATGGGAATTTCGAGAG